TAAGGAGCTGTTACGCTGTTACAGGAGATAATAGCATTCAGCAGGTGGTAATTAGGCTCCTCTCAAGACTATAAAAGGAATGAGTGTGCATTCGCCCTTTGCAGGAGTCAACGTATTCAATTAAAGTTGGAGAACTCTCATGGCTAGCTTGGCAGGCTGGACTGCTGCCAAGGTTAGTCTGTGCTGAATTGCTGTCAAGGCCTGGACTATGCTGGAGTGCTGCCAAGGCCCTGTCTGTGTGTTAATAAATCCTTGAAGTATCTCTGTATCGGCGTGCTTTGGTGTAGGACGAGGGGGGTCAGAACACCTTCCCACCGAAGTGGTACCTATTGATCTACTTGCATTTTCATGCTTTCGAACTGCTAGGTTGCCAGGAACCATGAGGCCAGGATGGCAGTTTTAAACATTTAGTTGAAGAAGCTGGCTGGAAAAAAACAGAACAATATCAATAGTTGCTTGACTTCGGGAACTTCAAATACCTTTGGGATATTGACTCTGGACCAGAACAGCTCCAGATGTTCTCTCATCTTCTGGGGTTTATATTTGGAATATAAAATAGCAAGCTCGGTAAACATTCCCATGTGGGCCCGTTCCAGACCGAGAGCGGCTTCCAAGAGACCAATCAGCTCCTCAAAATATCCGCGGCCCTGCGAGTCAAGAACACAACAGGTTTAAGCAGCTTGGATGGACGACATTCGCAAATGAACAAGATGAGAAGATAATCCACTGAACATCCATTCCGGCATATGAATGCATAAGAAACCGGACCATTCGAACGTCCAGTCATCCAGAGAACCAATCAGCTGCTTAGAATTTAACAACTTCAAACGAACAACCAATCACACGACCAACTGGACCACCCAAGACATATAGAAGCTAAAGAGGAACAGGGCAAGGAAGTCCTACGGATGACGTTATCTAGTCTGGTCACGAAACGCCCAGGAACTAAATTCAAACAAGCACAGAGAGCAAGACCACTGGCAAAATCTAACACCCGAGTATTTCCTGTTATTAAAATCCCCTGAACTACCTGTGTTCCCACAACCTAGGAAGGAAACATCTTAAGAAAGGGGCAACTCTGCTCACAGAGGAGAAATCTAAATATTTTTTTATTTAAATGTTATTCGTCGAACAAAAATTACAAATTCGAACAAGTAATGTTAAGAAAATTAACATGTGAGAGGGATGACAGACATGTTACACCCGCACATCCTTAGGGACCTCTTAAATATAGTGTGAGGTTCGCAGAAGTTAACTTAGAATAAAAAAGGTGAAAATTAATGGCTGAGACAATGGAATCAGGTAAGATATTTCCAAA